GCATATGTATATATATATATACACACACACACACACACACACACAGAGACGAGCTATAGAGGTGTAAGTCCCGGTCGGCCTCTGTCAGGACCTCGGAGATCTCCGCCGCCGGCCGCGGACGTCCTCCAAGCGCAGCGCCTCCCTCCCGCGGCCTCTCGGATCCGTGGGATTTCTTGTCTGATTAAGAAAATAGGGTTCAGGGTTTAGGCCCAGCTGATTGGCAGAGTCTGGGTTCAAAAAAGGGGTTTTTGTGTAGCAATTTATGTAGGGTTTAGGGTTTATGTAGGGTTTAGGGTTTAGGGAACTAGCTCGTCTCAGGACAGGGTTTGGGTGATAAAGTTCTGAGGCTTTAGCGCCGAAGCACGGCAGGGACCACGATCCCCAGAGCCGGTTCTGCGAATTTGATGGGCCCCTGGTCTCTTCTTAGTCAAGGATCGCAACACGGGATTAATTCGCAGAGCACGCGTTGAGAATAATCTTACGAAGCCCTCGGCAGGCTTCACAAAACTCTAAACCCTAAACCCCCCTAGGAGACTTCTTTATCGAGGACCGGCGCTCTGGCACCGCTCGGCTCGCCGCGCGCGTTGGTGTGCTTCTTTGAGGTCTTGGGATGGGCGATCTGGGGAAGTGTATGGAGGGTTTATAATTTACAGGGCGGGGGGGGGGGTCGAAGTGTTCGATGAGATGGCGACAGCTTTCGACTGCTGCAGGAGGCGATCGGCTCCAGAACAGTAGACTCTTTGGACCTGAGAGTTTTAACCTTCTCTTGCCGATCGTCTGGTCTTCTCCTCCTCCTCCTACCTGCAGCAGAGAATAGCCAACTGGAGCCGACATGCCCTGGCATACCGCACTTTCCACATCCTGAAGAGTACGTTGCCGCTGCCACATGAATTGTCCCACGCCTGCATATGCATCCGCTTTTTGAAGGCTCTTGTCGGAAAGCTGTGGGCTTTAGGGTTTTAGGGTTTATAGGGTTTAGAGGTTTTAGGGTTTTGGGGTTTAAGGTTTTACTGTGGGACGAGTCACGGGTGGAAGTGAGGAAGTTTGCCAGGAGCCGGCGCCCGTCTTGCCGTCGCTCCTGGATGCCCTTCGGCGGTCTTCCGAACGTTCCGAAGTTCTCCCCATCCTTTTTGGGGCCTCACTGCGGCCCATGAGGCCCCCAAACCACTGTCCTGGAGCTAGCTTTGTCCATAAAGCCCAACACCCAAGACCCAAGCCCCTGCACTCGAAAGCCTCGAGTCTGGGCAGCGACCGGAAACCATTACCTCCGACGCAGCCCGAGCCTCTCAAGACTCGCCCATCGGCCTGTTTCGTGCTGCTCCATCATTCATCTGTTTGAGCATCGGTCTGTCGAAGAGAGCTTGGAGACTTCAGTCACAGGGGACCTTGATGCAACCTAAATGCGCACGATTTTCTTCTGAACCCTGAATAGTAGCATCCTTGCTGCGGTCTTAACAGGATCCTTACTGTAAGGTGTGAGATGAAAAATCCGGATTCTTATGGTTGAAGATCTCAGGAAAGTGCCAAGTCGCCACGGCCTTCTCCGCGAGACCCGCCGCACGACTGCAGATGGCAGGGAGCCGGGAGTTTTTTCTTTGCAACTCTGCCGTCGAGGCCCTTTCCCGGGCTTTTGGAACGCTCACCATTACATCGGACTGCCAGTTTCGCCTTCCATACAGAGGGGAGCCTGCCCAAAATTTTACGACTGCGACCCACTGATGGAAAAAAATACGATATCAACACTACCGAAATACTATAATAATAATAACAATAATAATAATAATACCAATAATAATAATGATAATAATAATAATAATAAACAACGACAAGAGCACTATCATTTAGTACATGATAACTAGTGACAGGGGGTTCAGCCGCAAGGTTCTCCTTCTACTTCGACGACGCCGTGGCCCCAGAGCAGAGCCAGGGCCGACTTTCCCCGGGGGGGGGGGGCCGAAACCCTTCCAAACCGGAAGTCTCTTAGAGGACCCTAATTATAGTACCCTGAATAGTAGGATCCTTATGATAAGGGACCCCAAGATAAGGTACTTGTTTTTTGTGCCAAAAAGAAGAGATCTGAGTTTCTGCTGTAGTACCCAACGAGGTAAGTGCATAGAAGATGTGATACTCCGAAGTCTAGAGCCCTGACTCTTTTTGGCATTGGCTCTCTGGGAGAAGCAGGCGACGACAAGGAGAACGACGGCAGCAGCAATCACCGACAACAGCGGGAGCTTTAGTAGCAGCAGCAAGAGGAAGGAAAGGGAAGCAGGAGCACCAGGACCACTGCGATGAACTTTCTTCCAGCCTCTTGACGACACTGAAAGCGGGGTGCGCAAAACGTGCCTGGATCCATCATCTCGGGCCCTTGGAAGGCCTCAGCAATGCCCAACAAACAAAAGAGGCAGACGCTGCCAGGAGAAACCCAAGAGCCGAAGAGGGCCTCCGAAATGGAAGCTCTCTTTCTTTTTTTTGGGGGGGGGGTCCTGGGTCCTGTGCGTTGCTTCTTTTGCGGCTCGTGCGGCTCGTGTGTCTGTGTTTTGGAGAGCTTCCCAGATGGACTACACCGGAGCCGGCGACAGCGGCTCCGTTCGGCCTGGCACCCAGCATGGCCCAGCATGGCATGGCCATACACAAAAAATCCGTGCAGGGTTTTTTTGATTTGGTGCTGTTGTTGTCGAGAGCAGAAGGAATTTCAGAAGGAGCTTTGGGCACCTCTTCTTCCGAGACCAACAGGGCACCTCTTCTACTCCGTCCAAGTGGCCCGCTTTGCAAATTGCCTCCAACCGGCCGCTCACTCCCTGTAGCTGCAAGGCTCGGGAGTCCAATGAATCCAGGAAGTTCCTTTGACTACTCTTCACTTCCCAGTCTTACTACAATTACCACGGCCATGACCATTATTCCTGCCATACCTGTCACCACCATGACCAGTCATTGAAGAGAGAGGAAGACCAGCTTCTCCAGGTCTTGGTCGAGGGAGAGCTTCTCAGAGATGGACGGGCTTGCAGGGGTCTGCAGTCGGATTCAGGGTGGTTCAGGGATTTGTGGGATTGGGGGGTTTTTGGTTCCGAGGCTTTTCGGCCCAAGGAGGTTTGGAAGTGGGCGATACCAGGAAACTCAAGTTTCATGGACTTGATCTGCCGTAACCACGCCTGACCTTCATGATCCGATTCACTTGTTGATGAGTGGCAGGATTGCGCCGATCTCGTGTCCCTGTAGTTCCGTTTTTTGAGTTGAAAGCTCCCTTAGATTCGATCAGAGAGGGGTGAGATGGAGAAGACTCTGTTGCACAGGCTGTCGCGGTCTCAGTTTGCCATTTCACTTCCTAAGACCTAAACTCTAAACCCTTGGCCGAGATTCTGCTGGCGCAGGACACGCATTGTCACAGTCCCGGGCAGAACCTGATTTCGCCGAGCTCCCCCTTCTCCTCCCCGAGGCAGAAAGGAGAAAGGGGTGAGTTTGGGGTTTGGAGGGATTTGGGACTCAAGAGTTTGAGCCTACGAGTTGGGGGGATTTCATAAGACTCATAAGTGAGTTCTGAGTGCAGAAAATTCGAAATAGGCCTTCTGAACTGGCGGTTCTTCCTGGGTCTTGAGGCTTTCAACGCGCAGACGAGAGAGTCACCTCTAGTAGAAGTTTGGTCCTGTTAGGTCCTGCTGCTTGGCGACGCAAAGAAGGTGCCACAAACAGCGCCTTTAGCTGGCGTTGGATTTTTCTTGCTGGGATCCCGGACAGAAGCCTTTCTGGGCTCTTGTCCAACTAGCACCATGGGGAACTCTCATTTGTCCCCTTTTTTCATGGTGGCGAACAATTGATTTCCAAGATGGTGTAACTCGCATCAAGCTTCTTCTAGGAGAACCCCGTGAGGTCTTTGAATTTCGTGCCAGAGCCTTCTACAGCCTTTTAGGTTCTTGAGCCCCCGCAACAAACTCAACTACCCGTTCCCTCGAACCCTCAACTTCAACGAAGCCTCCACTTTCTTGGAGGTGCGGAGCTCGCGGGTCTATCTGCAGCCGTGAGTCAACGGCTCTGGCGACCGACCAGGCAAGTCACTTCAGGATTCGTCAAGGTCTCTTTATTTCTTTCAAAGGGTGGGTGGTTGCTTGAGTGGGTTCTACAAGGTTGCTATCAAGGGCTGCTGTAAAGTCTGCTGGGGTTTTGGGGCGCACTTCTCGGTCTGGCGCGAAATGCTCAGCTTCTCTGTTGCCGTTCCAGCCTTCTTGGATCAGATCCCCCGAGGTTTTTTCATCTTGGGGCTCAGGGCTCCGATTCCTGGAGCCTGCCGAGTGAATTTTTGCCGAAGGCTGCATCAAAGGGCCTGGTCCTGTTGATGGCATCGAACCGGCCAAGGTAAGGTTCAAGCAGAATCTTTCTGAAACCCGTGCCAAAGAGACTGCACAAGCCCCTTNNCCCCCCCCCCCCCCCCCCGGGAAGTTTTGGAGAGCTTCCGGAGATCCATGTTGCGGCAGGAAGAGTTGGCGCAGAAGTCATGGTCTCGTTCTCAGATCGTGTCGGTTTCGATCTCAGCTGAGCCTTGGTAGGGCCTGGTAGGGCCTGGTAGGGTGTGTTTGGGGTTCTGGGAGAGTTCGGATCCGATACGCAAGCAGCCGCAAGCATGGCTGTCATGAGTCATGGGGTTCTCTTTGCCTCGCTGCGAGGCTTCGGCTTCGGGGCTT